TTCCTTAAATTTTTTGCATCTCAACGAGAGCAAAACTGAGGTAACATTCTTTGCACTGGCTGTTGGTTTGTAATAGAATTGATTTTAAAATTTTGTTTTTTGTTTTTAAAGCCCTGAAAGGATTAGCTCCAAAATATCTTTCTGATCTTTTGAAATTAAAGGTGCAATAGGTGATTGTCTTCAGAAACATTTTTTGTTATGCTGGTTGAAAGTCTCTTCACATCCCGATAGCAATCATTAAGTTAAGTGGTCTAAATATCTTTATCTGTATTTATATATTCTGTGGAAGGCGTAGGACAAAGAAATGTTAGTCCAATCAAAACGCTCGGTCCAAGCGTTTTAATTGGCTTTCCTACCTGCCTGTCAACTAATGTATTAGCATACCTCTGCGCACCCGGTTCGCGCAGACAGGATACGTCATCAGCGCGTTCACGCACACTGTGCAGACAGAGCGAGAATGGCAGACAAACATCAACAACCCGATCTTCCTTCCTGGTATTGTAGTACTTTTAAAGTTTTCTCACCAGTGAATGACGCATGATGTAGCTCAGCGGTTCCCAATCCCAGTCCTCGCGCTCCCCCGCTCTGCATTTATTTTGCGTATCTCGCTTAGTTACCACACCCGATTCAGATAACCAGCTCGTTATAAGAGAGCTATGTGCACGAACTGTGTTCCGATCGATATGATCCCTACACAGTGTTCATTGCTCCCTACTCCTTGAGCAGGGGAAATCCATTGAAGTTTACTTCACTTTGAAACATTGGAATTGGGAACCGCTGATGTAGCCTATTGTAGTAATGTTGTCTCTGGTGTTCTGGTCTGTGAGCGTAAATACATTCAGGTGGCATGGCTTTGGACAGTGATTGCAGGGAGGGTGGGACGTTCGCTTTCAGTACTATCAGGCTAAAGTTAACATTTTCCAAGCTCTCCTACTGCACCTTTAAATAACTAGATCATTAAGGTAATCTCCACAAAGATTGCTGATGGTTCCGAGATCTAGACAGAGTCTGAATTTAAACCCAAGTTAAATCTAACCTAACTTTTCTCTCAGGCATAACTGTTCTTGATTTTTGGTTGAATTTTCTGATTGGTGTTTTTGACGTAAACTCACTTTATCATTGTTTTGCAAATTATCTTTTGTCTCCTTTTTTTAAGATATTTATCCTTTGTCTTTTAGTACAGCACAATGGTCAACTACTGTTGTTTTTACTGTGCTATATAAATTAAAAACTTTTTGAACTGATTTGTCATTTTGACCGACCTCAACAAAATAGTGGATTACCCAGTAAATCTTCATTTGTTATTTTGGCTTTTATCACTATTTACGTTTGTCTTTCTTCAGGAAAAACAAATACTACCAAAGTCAAAAGTCTTAGCCAGAATGACCCTCCAAGTCTTCTGTGTCACATGATCCTTCATAAATCATTCTGATATGCTAATTTGGTGCTCAAGAAACATTTCTTATTATCAACATTGAAAATATGAATTATGTATTTTTGTGGAAAATGTCATACATTTGTTTTCAAATCTCTTTGAAGAATAGAAAGTTCAAAAGAGCAGCATTTATTTGACAGAAATCTTTAACATTAAAAATAACTTCACTGTCAATTTCGATCTATTTAATGCATCCTTGCTTAATGCTGAAAAAAAGGTCTCCCTTACACATACACATTACTGCTCTAAAGTTGAATTCCAAGTGCTGTAGTTTCTCACTATTTTTACCATTGAAGTTTACTTCACTTTGAAACATTGGAATTGGGAACCGCTGATGTAGCCTATTGTAGTAATGTTGTCTCTGGTGTTCTGGTCTGTGAGCGTAAATACATTCAGGTGGCATGGCTTTGGACAGTGATTGCAGGGAGGGTGGGACGTTCGCTTTCAGTACTATCAGGCTAAAGTTAACATTTTCCAAGCTCTCCTACTGCACCTTTAAATAACTAGATCATTAAGGTAATCTCCACAAAGATTGCTGATGGTTCCGAGATCTAGACAGAGTCTGAATTTAAACCCAAGTTAAACCTAACCTAACTTTTCTCTCAGGCATAACTGTTCTTGATTTTTGGTTGAATTTTCTGATTGGTGTTTTTGACGTAAACTCACTTTATCATTGTTTTGCAAATTATCTTTTGTCTCCTTTTTTTAAGATATTTATCCTTTGTCTTTTAGTACAGCACAATGGTCAACTACTGTTGTTTTTACTGTGCTATATAAATTAAAAACTTTTTGAACTGATTTGTCATTTTGACCGACCTCAACAAAATAGTGGATTACCCAGTAAATCTTCATTTGTTATTTTGGCTTTTATCACTATTTACGTTTGTCTTTCTTCAGGAAAAACAAATACTACCAAAGTCAAAAGTCTTAGCCAGAATGACCCTCCAAGTCTTCTGTGTCACATGATCCTTCATAAATCATTCTGATATGCTAATTTGGTGCTCAAGAAACATTTCTTATTATCAACATTGAAAATATGAATTATGTATTTTTGTGGAAAATGTCATACATTTGTTTTCAAATCTCTTTGAAGAATAGAAAGTTCAAAAGAGCAGCATTTATTTGACAGAAATCTTTAACATTAAAAATAACTTCACTGTCAATTTCAATCTATTTAATGCATCCTTGCTTAATGCTGAAAAAAAGGTCTCCCTTACACATACACATTACTGCTCTAAAGTTGAATTCCAAGTGCTGTAGTTTCTCACTATTTTTCATTACATTTCAGCCTAGCACCTTTCAATTAATTTGTCCTGAGGCATATTTTAGAAATATGAAAATATCACAAAACCACTGTGCATAACTGTAAATGAATTACAAAAATATTGCTACAAATGAAATACGGTGCATGAAGAATAGCACTACAGCTAGAAAGCCATGTGACATTACCAAATATGTTTTCAATAAAAGTGCAGAAAGTATAACTTCAAGAACTGAAACAGTGCCATTCTATGAATCTGTTAATGAGCCTAATAAATGCCTGTAATCACGAGATTATAACTGATCATATAGCTATATAAAATGAAGTCTCAGTGGTCTGCAGGCCAGGGTGGGGGGTGACAGACGTAACCCCTACTGAAGATATAGTACTGTCAGTACTAGACAGTTACACTTCACCTGAAGAATAGCAATTTCAAAAGTGTTATGATGAACAGTAAATTTAACAGATTACCGTCTGCTTTAACCTGAATGAATGAACCCGTGACCAAACACCGCATACTAAAATCATTTCCATTATTCGACTATATCTAATGCACTTATAAACAAAGAGCTGCATATAAAAGTATCTCAGATACATAATAACACTTCTGACATAAACAGAACTGTAAACAAATAACAAGGCTAATGCTAGCAGGATTAGCAGTTTAAAGTAGCGCATTTAGCACACAACGTGTGGATTGTAATGACAGCAAAACATAAGGGCTGCAAGTCTACTAAACCTGCATGCCAAATGACACACCGCTAGTAGAATCAAACAAGACAGAGGAAATGAACAAGAATGATTAAGAGTATGTAGGCCTCCGCATCCCAAACGCTAATGCTAACGACTACCTTCACAAACGCGCAACAGTCCGTCAAGAGATGTCAGTGTCCCTCTGACACTATCACTGTTTTAAGCAACTTAACGGCGCATACAAAGCATCCAGCATACAGTCTACGCATACGATGATGGCTTCTATCTTACCATGATTATTAGCTATGTTCGAGGAAACGCTGGATGAGCCCGCTGTGAATGTATGGTCGTGTCATGTGACTGCCTCCTGACGAGCTCTGCCCGCACACAACACAGCAAGCCCTGAGAGCTATTTCCCCCAATGGCTCCTCTTGCCTTCAGCCTGAAGAAGCAATCAATCATTTGTTTTGGGACTGTGCTTATTCTAAAGAGTTCTGGGTTGACCTTTCCCATTTTGTTAACAAATATTTATATCCAAACTTTTGTACAACCCCCAAAATTGTGTTTTTTGGTTACTCTTTGAATTTAGACCCTTCTCGCTGTAAATGTATTATTAATCTATTGCTATGTCTTGCTCAATTTGACATTCATAAGTGTACATTTTCAAAGAAAACGCCCTACTTTTTTATTTTCAGGAAAGATTTGGATGTGTACGTAAACTCTTTAAGAGACTCTTTAATAATTCTATTGCACGTAAGACTCTTTCAAGGTGTAAGTCTTAAAAGCTAGCATAGTATGCTTTGGAGTATTGCTTGTAACCCTTGTTGTCTTTTGTTCTTACTTGTCTTTGTAATTGTATTTGCTGTTCTTGTATTGCATAATCAAAATTAAATAAATAAATAAATAAAAAGCCCTGAGAGCTGGATTATTCCGCTCTAAAACGCTGTAGAGACAACATTTAGAATTAAAATGTATTTGTTTACAATAAAATACTCAGCTGGGTTGTGTACATATCTCTTATATTTGTCTACATATCTACAATTGAAGAAAAAAAGTGTAATGGACAAAAGTTTCTCTGACTAACATTTAGCATTTAATATCGTGCACTCCGCTTGGCCTTATATAGTACCATTTGACGAATACTTAAATAGTCTTAAAAGTAGTTAAGTTTATACGTATTTCACTCGAACGAGGTTGTCCACGCCCATTTCTCGATCCACCAATGGCAGGTCCCGACGTTTATTTCGGGTGTGACACGTGTTCGTTTTCGCGGGAAATCAGTTTGTCTGTGCAAGGTGTGCTTACTGAGAGGACTCCGTTTGTGTTGAGGTTAAAGAGAAGATCCAAACTACATTACAAATGGATAAAGAGTTATTTCGTAAGCTTGCTTCGTATCTACAATTGAAGAAAAAAAGTGTAATGGACAAAAGTTTCTCTGACTAACATTTAGCATTTAATATCGTGCACTCCGCTTGGCCTTATATAGTACCATTTGACGAATACTTAAATAGTCTTAAAAGTAGTTAAGTTTATACGTATTTCACTCGAACGAGGTTGTCCACGCCCATTTCTCGATCCACCAATGGCAGGTCCCGACGTTTATTTCGGGTGTGACACGTGTTCGTTTTCGCGGGAAATCAGTTTGTCTGTGCAAGGTGTGCTTACTGAGAGGACTCCGTTGTGTTGAGGTTAAAGAGAAGATCCAAACTACATTACAAATGGATAAAGAGTTATTTCGTAAGCTTGCTTCGAAGATCGGGATAACAGCTGTTAAAGTATTGAGGTAAGTGAAGTGTGACAGTGTGACAGTGTAGAGAGACCAGCCGCTTGTTTGGTTCAATCTGAAGTGAACATGTCAATATAACAACACAACTAACGTTAATTGTGATCTCTTATTTTCAGTCAAGCAGAGGAATACATGCGATTATCCCAAGTGAAGTGTGTTGGACTGGGTTCTGTTACAGCCACCAGCAAGGCCATTGTTTGCCTCGAGTTGGCAGCGACTTCAGTGAAATTTCCTCTAGACAAGGCAAGATCCAGTTCCCATACTGCCTGATGTGATGTACCATGTACATGTACAGAATCACACGCACTTGAATATGTTACTATATTATGTCATGGAAATATGCATATGTGCGAGTTATCTTTTACTGTTACGCCCAGTGGGCTTTCTTTTTTTTTTGATTTGTCGCTAATTTATTTGCCAATTCACTTTATTTACTAACACTGTCCAATAGTGGCATCACAGGAAAACTGTCATTTGCTCATCTCAAATTATGTATTGAATTAAATAGCTTTCTTCGTTGAAATGAATTGGTATTTTATAAATAAATAGCCTATTACTTTGCTTTGTCAAGGCTTCTGTTATAGCTACCCCTTTATGTATCCTAAATGTACACAGATAATATGTAAACTGTGCCATCGTTTAGACAAAATTACAGCCTGGTTGGCAATGAAAAGAAATATTCAGTTTTCTTCATGCATCACATATCTCATATTTAATATAAAGAATAATTGTCCACAGACTGACTTTTGCAAAAAGAGATATTAGGGGCAAAATAGTTTGACCCATACTTGGAATTAGTGCTCTGCATTTAACCCATCCAAAGTGCGCACACAGCAGTGAACACACACACACACACACACACCCCGTGAACACACACCCGGAGCAGTGGGCAGCCATTTATGCTGCGGCGCCCGGGGAGCCCCTACAATCCCTGCCGATACGAGACTCGAACCCACAACCTTTGGGTTACGAGTCCGACTCTAACCATTAGGCCACGACTTCCCCCAATGATGAAGTGGAGGATGAGACCGCTGTTATTGTTTAAATATTGTTCAGAATAATTTTCACACAATAACCATTGACCGCTTTACACGAGATGTTGTACGCATTAGCATATGTAGTAATATGAGTATTTTCTTGCAATAATTTTTAGAAATTAATATTCTTTCAACTTTCTGCTGGATAGGAGTATGCCATCAAACTATCCGGACTGAGTCCTAAGGTGTACTCCAGTAATTTGAAGGCTATGGAGTGCATGCTGGGCCTGCAGTCAAACCTGGGTCTCAGAGATCTTGCTGTGCAGTATGGCTGTTTGGAAGCAGTTAAAGTGGCCTCTCAGATCCTTCAGCAGTGAGTCTTCACATTGCATCAGTGCAGTCAAGATTAATCGAATGACTTGATCTAAACCTACATTATGTATTTGTTTAAGGTATGAGACCAGTTTGCCTGCTGCTCAGCAACACGACCTTGACCTGTCTAATCCTCTCTTTACCACAGCAGCTCTGTATGCAGCATGCAAGTGAGTATAGGACACTGTAATGTTATATTGTCATTGAGTCAAATAATGAATGGTTCAGAAATACTTGTTGCTGGATGATTGTGTGTTTGACAATCACATTAGATATTAATTTTGATTGGGAGCTCAGTTGTCTCTTGAAAACCTGATTAAGCTCTTCACAGTGCTAGTGTGGTCAAAGTAGAGTTAATACGAGGCTATGAGAAGTGCATTAAATACTGATTAATTTAAAATGGTCAGATAGGGATTGCCTATCACATAGTTGTGAAATTTAGTCATATTTGTTCCCTGTACGCACTTACAACTAGGTTATCTGCATATTAGACTCAATGAACGTGAGTGCATACATAAGGAATGCCACTAAGGAATGCTTTCTTAAAGGTGCTAATGTTATAAGACTGGCCAAATCCAAATGTGCTGAGCCTGAGTGACTATGTTGGTCTATTGTTATCCAACCAAACTCTGCTACTGTACAATAATGAACAAATCAGGCTCCCAGATGGGTGAAAAAGATTTTATGCATGTCAACAAGCCACAGAAATCTCCAAATCTAAACTGCACCTGGTTCACATTCAGTTACTGAAGATGGAAAAATAAATTGGTTCTGTCCTTCCTGTTTGAAGGTGCATGAAAATCAGAACTGACAGGAAATTAGCTTCTTCATCTGGAGCAAAGAAGGGCATCTTTGACCGGCTGTGCGCACAGTTTCAGAAATTTGGACAGGAGATCTGCAGTAAGTGTAACTCCTTCAAACAAAAACTTTTTGGAAAATGATACATTGCCTAATTAAAGTGAATAAAGGCACAGATACATTTTTTTGTAGGAGATCTTGGTCTGACTTTCATGTATAACAAAGATGTTGTAATTGAAGTTGCACAACATTTCATCTTTTTTTTTTTTTTTTCCTTTTCAATCAAGAGATATTACTTCAAAGAGATCTGTCATAAAGAAACACATTTCACTGGTTACCATGGCTACAGACATATCATAATTAGTCCATGTTTATTTTTTGTGTAGTTCAACATCAAAGAGCAGCATGTTTCTTCTCAAGTAGTATTTGAAGTTGGGATATTAAGCAGACCGATTCAGTCTGATATGTCCATGTACCCTCAGATGGACCTTCATCTATGGAGAAACCAGTCAAAACTGCACAAAAGAGGCAGAAGACTCTCACTGAAATACTAGACACGGAAGAAGATGGTAAGAGAGCCATTTGCCTACCACAAATAATGGCAAATTATTATTCGACCCATCCGCTGCCCTTATATACGGTGTATGCACATCTACAGTGCCAACCACTAATATTGGCACCCTTGGTAAATATGAGCAAAGGTGGCTGTGAAAATAAATCTGCATCATTTATCTATTTGATCTTTCATTAAAAACTTCACAAAAGTCTAACCTATCATTGAAGTAAAACAATTGAAATTGAGGGGGAGACTCCCATTATGAAATGTTTTTCTCCAATGCATGTTGGCCACAATTATTGGCACCCCTAGAAATTCTTAAGAGTAAAATATCTCTGAAGTATATTCCCATTCATATTTACATTTTTTTTTAACACACCAGGGTGACCAGGAGCATGAAATTCTCCAGCCATGACTTCCTGTTCCACAGGATTATAAATGGGACACAAAGGCCAAATTCCCTTAATCATCCATCACAGAGTAAAACCAAAGAATATACAACCCTCTACGGACACCTTGGCAATTGATTCATCATTGGCTAGTAAATTTTTTTGTTTACTCGCCAGACTGAAATACTATACTAGACTATATATATATATATAGGTTATGCCATTTTACAAACCTATATAATGTTTGTAAAATGGTACCATTTTTTAAATATCTGAAAGTACACTTAATATCAGTCAGTCAAGCATTATAATATGATAGTCAAGTATTATTTAATAATAGAAGTTTAGTAATTAGAATTCAAACTTGGTAACCATGAACTTAGGGCTGGTGCCTTTTTTGGTCATTCAGTGTTCCTGTAAAAAAAAAAAAATACTGATAAGATATTATTATTATTATTATTAGGAATCTGAGGGTGCAAAAAAATCAAAATATTGAGAAAATTGTCTTTAAAGTTGTCCAAATTAAGTCCTTAGCAATGCATATTACTAATCAAAAATTAAGTTTTAATATATTTACGGTATCAATCATTTTGACCCATACAATGTATTTTTGGCTATTGCTAAAAATATACCCCAGCGACTTAAGACTGGTTTTGTGGTCCAGGGTCACATATTAGTAGGCCTACGGTCACTTTATTACAGATTTATATATCATATTATATATATTTTATATTTAGTGTTTAGTTTAAAACATCTTTAACATGATTCATTCAAACTGTCTCATTTCAAAGACTGCACCCTCCAGAGGTGGCATTGTCGACTGCATGTCATTGAGAAAAATTATCATTCTAAAATGTATTACTCCTTATGAGATGTAAATTACTGAGATTTATTTTCTTGCAGTGTAATGGTTACTTTTCTTAATTGAGACATCCTCAATGCTGTATGTGGCCAAAAAACGCCGCCTCAGGAGGGTGCAGTCTTCAAAATGAGACACAACCAAGATTTGGCTAACTGTGCCTGTCCCAATACCCACACTTGTGGTATTTGTACTTGACCACTTGTCTTTTTACATAAACTTTTTATCTCCGGTGTTTGGCCGAAGTGTTCAAGTAAGCTCCCTCAAGTGTAGAGCTTTTACCTAATGGGACACACTTTTATTTAAAAAAAATCAAGTAAAGTTTTTAAAGAAAATTTGATATTAAATTTTTTACACTCTAAATTAAACTTCTGAATGTCTGTTCAGTCCCTAACAGGCAACAACATTTATTAATTTTAGTTCTTCTAATTAAGCGAAAAAAGCAGTTGCAAATGTTCCACAAAAATAAAAAAAGTGCAACACTTTACTTTTTACTTCCAAATTAAATATAAGATCTAATTCATATACTTACACACTGGACAGTTTTCAGAGCATGTGAGTTTCTGAACATGATGAGTAATTGGATATGCTCAACCTCAAATACCTGTTTAAAGTGATATTAACAATAAGACACTGGGCTTTGGCATTTTTCAGACCTGGGACAGTTTTACTCACTTACTTCCTGTGGCATGTACTCGCTCAAAAGTGTATGTACTGGGACAGGCTCTGTGGTAAATTTGGCTAAGTTGTGCTAACATTTGGCCAACAGAGCCAAAAGACAGCCAATTTTATTTGAGCAAGGGGAACAAATGGTGTCCTGAAAATGATTGAAAGAAATGTCCGATCATCCTGAAACACTTTGTAAAATTTGTGCACAGCATGAGTGCATTTTTACCAGTAAGAAAGACATAATCCAGCTGATTGTACTATATTATCATCATGCCAATAATCCATTAGTATTCATTGGCTGAAAGCAAAGGTGATATGAATCACACGACATGTTTCGAGGGCTGTGATGAGGTCACCACAGATAAAGAAAAGGGAGGAAGGCCAGGGTGGGTGTCCCATTGCATCTAAATGCACCTTGTCAAAGTGCACTGGATCATTAACTATCACTTTTACTGCATAGACCGTGGTAAGATGGTGGGCAAAAGACAATGTGCCCTCTCATGGCCACCTGCTGTGCCAGCCTGCTATTATCTCATGCCAGCTGAGCAACACGGCCCTTGTGTGGGAGAGGTTAGCTAAGACAGAGCAACATGAAAGTGAGCTCCAAATGCTCTAAAATGCACCAGGTCATGTTACGTCAGCAGCCAATTATGTTATTTGTGCCAATTTTTGGTGTACAGCTGCATTTTGAGAGGTTTCAGTTTTGATGTCAGGATGCATTAAAGGGGTCATATGATGCTGCTAAAAAGAACATTATTTTGTGTATTTGGTGTAATGAAATGTGTTTATGCGGTTTAAAGTAAAAAAAAACACATTATTTTCCACATACTGTACATTATTGTTTCTCCTCTATGCCCCGTCTTTTTGAAAAGCATCGACTTTTACAAAGCTCATCGGTTTGAAAAAGCGAGGTGTGCTGTGATTGGCCAGCTATCCAGTACGTTGTGATTGGCCGAATACCTCAAGTGTGTGACGGAAATGTTACGCCCCTCACCATACTGTTGATGCCGTGTCCGGCCGGAGCGACGAGACAAAAACATTAAAACCCATTACAAACGAGTCATTTGTTGCATCCAGTGGGGACATAATTACTGATTATAATGACTTATACTGTCTTTTTACGCATTGCATTGCATTGCATCGCACCGCGTAAACATAAAACTCTGTCAGCATTTGTGATCAGTGAAATGACAAACAACAAGTGCTTTGAACTTTTATAAAGAATATCTCTTTGGATTTGAGACTTTAGTCTTTGCAACTTTACAGATCTTCTTTATGCACCAAGAGCTTGTAACACTCCAAAGAGAAAGAAAATTGAAATCGCATCATATGACCCCTTTAAGGGAACCTGAGCAGGTCAAAGTGGGGCAATGATTGAGAGATGGAAGAGAAAAGTGAGGCTCTTAATGCCACGAGAGAGCAGGCTAGAAAAGTAGGAGAAATAACCTATGTGCAATAGAAAGCGTGACTTAAGGTATGTTCTGTACTTTAAGGTTTTGCATTAGTGTAATAATGATGGATGGATGAATACCATTTGGCGGGCACAAGAAGGCTGGAAATGAAGTCTTTGGCTTCTTCTGACACATTCTCAAATGCCTCTGCATCAAAGTCCCACTTGGCGTGCAGAATATTGTTCATTGTTTCTGTATCATTGTCACCCATAAATGGAGAAAGGCCGCTCAGACTGAAAAAAGAAATCATAAAGGGAGTGAATAACCCAGAAATCTATTCACCTTAGTTTTAAGATTATCAAAGTATGACATACTGTAAAAATAGCTGCTTTGTACCATTCTGATCTACTTTTTATATTTTAATATTGCAGTACTGTGAATATTGTTGACTTCTCATGATTAATCAGCTGTGTTTGTATTTTTCCTCATTTGTTTGCTTTGGTTAAAATCACCACCTTAATAAATAAATAGCGACAGTTAAGGTTAAATTTGTTGACATTACGCACAATGACAATGAACAATACATTTACAGCATTTATTAATCCAAGTTCAATTCTATATATACTGATACTAGATACTATACTGAATTTAAACATTTCAAGTTGTATATAATATTTAGAAAAAAAGTTAATTTATTATGAATGAACATGAATGAACAATCAACAATATTTATAAATTAACATTAACCTAGATTACTAAAAACATCGCTATGCTGATATGATATCAAACGCATTAAGTAATGTTAACAATTTGAACTTTGTTGTAAAATATTACTGAACAAAAATTAAATATAAATGTACATACGCATACACATACACATAAAAGTAAATGGATACATAATCGTAATGCCAATACTGTCTATAAACAATTTGAAATGAAGGCAACAACAGTTATGCTGGCTTAACTGACCACTAACACAATTATGTGTTTGTGTCTACTTTAAATAAAAAGCTATAATTAAATGAATACACTGAACACTGAAGGCTTGTTGGGTGTTCAGTTCTCAGAGAAGTGTGAAGTAGGTGACACACATATTCTCTGGATGGGCAAGCCCTTCTAAAGCTCCACCAACAGCTGTCAGGTAATTAGTATTGATTCAGCCTGGCCGCTATTGGCCAGAGCAGAGGGACAGTACTGCTCACGGGGAGCAGAGTGATGGGGGCACAGGATTAGAGATGGGATGCTTGTGTGTAGTTTTTTTTTTTCAGAGCAGCAGGGTTGGTAACATGCTTTCTGAGCTGTAAGGAACTGGTGCCCTTTTATCAGGGCTCTATTCAATGCTTTCAAACGAGCCCTCTAAAGCTTTCATGGGCATCACATTTGCATTTGGCTTTTGATCTCTGATATTTCACTCAGGAGTCTTTGCCACTGTGCAATTCAGCGTAGCAAGAAAGGGAGACTTTTCTTCCTATAACGCATAAATCATTAATGTATATGCACTTATTTCATGAATGTCAATTCTGCCTCTTTAATGACAATTCTTTATATTAAACTTTTGGAAGTCAGCATAATGTTTTTTGAAATAAGAAATACTGCATTAATAGATCTGCCTTACTGCCTCTAGTTGTGTACTCACAGCATGTATGTGATGACACCAACACTCCACATGTCTGTAGGAAATGACACAAAGTCATAGTTGACAACTTCTGGTGCCAGAAACTCTGGGGTTCCAAAGTTGACCTTCAGCTTTTCTCTGGGTCTATACCTGGTGGGATGAACAAACACATTTTGCAGATTTGTTTTTGGATTTTGTATAATACCAATATAAAAAAAACAGACCCAAACTCACTGACTCGTAACACTAAGCTCATTCAACAGACCTTGCTGATGATAACACCAGGTCAGTCAGGAACCTGGAAGAATCTTTAACTTTTTTAATTAGCTGAACTTCAAGGACCAAATTACAAAGGCTGCCCAACAATGGAAAATCATGAAAAGCACGCCCTATCTGAGCATGTCCAACCTCAAATGATCCCAGCAACAGCCCACCTACGTTCAATGCAGTGTTTGTGTCAGTAGTCACTGGATCTGTACTTTCTACCTCCACTCACATCTGCATATATGTGTTTTCTACAGAAATCGGAAGTAAGTTTGTGAGTGGAATCTCATGGCAACCTCACAAAAAGGCTCAAAATCACTTTCCCCAACCTTCACATTCACTGTGCCTCAGTGGTAGAATGATCTTCCCTCTCTGCTATTGAAAACACACAACTCCCCTGTAAGAACCTGACTCATACTGTACTTACTTTAAAAAAGCTCTACATTTCTCTTTCTGCTGTTCTACAAGAGTCTCACTTACAATTCTGTCACTTTGTATTGTGCCATATCTCATGTTACAGTGTCTGTAGAATGCCTTGCTTTTGTTGTAATATTTTTAGTTAAGTCATTTTGGAAAACAGTGTCTGCAATATACAGACCCAACACCAGTGTTTTGTCCACCCATGAAGATTCTTAAAAGATATGCTAAATGAAAAGTTATGCTAGTTTCTAACTGTTACACAGACAGTACATTTCGTTGACTTTGTATGGACTGTGATTGTTGTAATCCTTTTAAACTTTAAAGCTCAAAGTAAACGAAGATATCAAAAAATGATCACATGTAGAGTAGTGAATCAAAATACTTGATGTCAGCTAAAAAAACATTATTATAACACTTTATTTTATGTGTGAAATTAGGGAAATAATTATCCAAGACCGAGAAAAGTCCTTCTTTTGTTCACTTCAAAAATATATATATATATAAATCTTGTTATTATTTATATGCCTTGTTTTTAATAAGAGAATTTAGTTAGGTCTGCTACTTACTTTCTGGCGAGTCCAAAGTCAATGATCTTGATCTGATTCCCTGTGCTGCTCACACATAAAATGTTTTCTGGCTATATTGCAGAAAATATAAAAATTAAAAGATAAATACTATTTAAAATTAAAACTGATTATGAATACTAAAACGCTAACAATATAAATAACAACTTTAGTATTTCAAACTAAATATGGGATTCAAATGTATTGTTATGAAGGGTAGTAACATCCCACACCTGACTTAAGGTCCATTCACACCAAGAACGATAACTATAACGATAACTATATTAACATCCACACCACTGTACATAATCGTTCTGTTTATTGTGCATAAGTGTGTGCTGCAGTTTTGTCATCTGTCGCTTTAAATGCTTGAGCTCTTTAAAGCACGATGGACTCTGATTGGCTGTCAATGTTTTTATCATTCATAAGCTAAAAAAAAAAAAAAAAACTTTCCGAAAGTGATTCCAGTGATTATGGACTGTACTGCTACTTTTAAATTTAGAATTATTTTTAAGACTACATCTTTATCATTTTCGTTCTTGTCATTTTCGAGTGAACAAGCTTTTACTTACACATAAGCAATTTATGTAGATTGGTAATGCATGTGGTATGCATTCCATATTTCCTATAAACAACATGTTAACAGCAACACAAGGCACAAGTCCCTTGGCAGCACGCTAATTAAAATGTATGATATTCAGACTAATGCTAATGTTGACATACATGGGTGATTCACTGGTGGCTTTTTCCATAGAGACACCTGACACTATGCACTGCTAATCCCATCAGTATCACATTATAACATTCAGTGCTGTGTGTGGGGTTTACCTTAAGATCTAAATGGAGAATGTACTGCTGGTGAAGGTATTGAACCCCCTCACAAATCTGCCTGGTAAACACGATGGCATCCAGCTCCGTCAGCTGGTAATTCTCATCAATGATTCGTTCAAACAATTCACCACCCTCCACACTGAAATAACAAACCATGGAAAGATATTTTAAAATGAACCATCACAAATTAACTCCTCTCTTTTAGTTCAGTCTATTTGTACACGCAAACTGACATTAAGCCCATGTATTTTCTTTAATGCTAAAACAAAAATTAATTTTAAGACTCTTTCCTTCTAGTGGTACCTTCACATAAAAATATCCATCTTCCAAAAAAAAAAAAACATCATTAATTGTTATGTCTTGTATTACAAATATTAATATTCACACAAAAATTTCATCATAAAATTAAAAGCGTTGATTTGCCAATTCAATACCATCAAAAAAAGTGAATTAAATCTGTGAACAAGGCAGGAAGATGACACACCATCATGACTGTGTAAAGTGGCATGTGTGGGAGCTCTATGTTCTTGCGACAGAATGTGAGGACCAGGCCAGGAGAGAAAATGTTTTCTTTCTAGTACATTGGGGTCTACTTACTATTCCATAATGAGTGTGAGATTAGTCCGAGACTCAAAAGCATCATACAGCTGAATCAAATTCACGTGGTTTAACTGGTTCATTACTCCAATCTCATTCTTCACTTCATCCTGGAATGAAAGCACAAAATATATATATATATATATATATATATATATATATATATATATATATATATATATATATATATATATTTAGAAAATGGATC